CTGTCTTTTGTTTGGCTGGAAGCCACAGGTGTGGGTTCAATTCTAGACCTTAAGGGCAGCTAGGGACTGTAGTCTTAGTGGTTCCACGAGGCTCTATCAGACCAGCAAACCTGGTCAGCGGGTACTATTCTTACTCCCATCTTAGAGACGGGGACATTGAGGCCTGGAGAGGGAGGTATCTCCCAAGTTAGCCCAAGGCCTCCCAGTGAGTGGGGAGCCAGCCGAGAGCCTGTGCTCCTGACCACAGTATGTCCTTACCCAGCTGCAGTATAAAGCAGCGTTGGGGTACATTGCTTGGGGGACTCATGGCCATTGTAAGGGGCTCACACATTTCCCAAGGGCACTGAGGAGCCATAGGAAGCCTTACACAGAAGAGGGACATGGTCCTGCTTGTGTTTAAGCCCCCCCAGCTGCCCTGTGAAGGACAAGCACCCCCCTCCAGCTGCCCTGTGGGGACGAGCACCCTCCCCCCCCCAGCTCCCCTGTGGGGACCAGCTGAGTGGAGGCACTAAAGCTGAGGATACAGTAGACACAGCAGAGAGGCCCGGCCCCTCACCCACTGCTCTGGCCTTCATTTCCCTTTGAGGTGGAGAGAGAGTGGAATGTCAGGGAGCCATTCAGGCCTGAGCCTGGCGTCTGCTGTGAAGTTCTGGCTCCGCTCCTCACTCTGTCTACTCCCCTTCACAGGGCTTCACCCCCATGACTGTCCCAGACCTTCTTCGAGGAGCTGTGTTTGTAAGTGAGGCCCAACTGTGTGCTAGCCCCTGTTCTGGGCCCCCCACAGGGGCAGCCCCAGCCAGGCCTCCTGTGCAAGGCAGGGGGCTGGCCTGCCTTCCCAGAAGAGACCACCTGGCACTGAGTTGAGGGTGGCAGGCTATAGTAAGGGGACCAGGGCAATCTTAGATCTTCCATGGGAGCAGTGGGGAGTCATGACTGTAAGCAGGCCTAGGTTACTTGTCCCCTGATCCCTGTGGCACGGCCTCCTTCCCCAGGAAGGCTGTGGGATGACACCGAATGCCAACCCATCACAGATTTACAACATCGACCCCTCCCGCTTTGAAGACCTCAGTCTGGCTGGAACAGCAGAGGTGGGGCTTGCAGGTGAGCACTGCCTCGCTGGTGAGGGTACTTCCTGTCTCCCAGTGAGGGCACTTCCTCCTCAGAGCAGGAAGGATTGTGGTGGACAGCTGGGAGCACCTGCCCCAGACAGTCTAGTGGGCCTGGGACTAGTGTGGACAGTTGTGTGAGTTGTCTACTGAGAACAGGACAGTGTAGATCCAGCTGTGGCCCTGATACGGGGTTGTATCCATCAGAGGGGATGGTCTTTCCTAATCCTCACAGAGGTTTCCTAGGGCCAGTAGTGACCCCAGCTGAACCTGTCCTGCCCCTTTCTCCTCCCAGGCTACTTCATGGACCACACCGTGGCCTTTCGCGATCTGCCAGTCAGGTGATGCCCAGCTCCTTAAGCCCTTGTCCCTGTCTGTGACATTGACTCTCCCCCTCCTGACCCAGCCTCACCTGCTACCCCCCCAGGATGGTTTGTTCTAGCACCTGCTACCGGGCAGAGACAGACACCGGGAAGGAGCCCCGGGGGCTGTATCGAGTGCACCACTTCACCAAGGTCGGTGCAGCCCGGGGCCAGGGCAGGGGGGCTCCCCGACAGCCCAAGGCCTCCTGACCCCTGTGCCCCCTACCCTGCCACAGGTGGAGATGTTTGGGGTGACAGGCCCAGGGCTAGCACAGAGCTCGCAGCTGCTGGAGGAATTCCTGTCCCTTCAGATGGAGATACTGACGGAGCTGGGCTTGCACTTCCGGTGTGGAGAGGGGTGGGGTGGGGTGGTGGTGGTGGTGGCTAGGCACTGGCTGAGGGAACCTCATCACCACTCTCTCTCTTTCTTTTCCTTTAATTTTTACTGTGATTTGGGTGAAAGTTTACAGAGAAAATTCCTTTTACATACACTAGTTCATACACATTTTGTTTCATATCATTGAGTGCAGTCCCCACAATGCAGCAGCTCTCTTCCTCTTCCTCCCTGTAGTGACCTCTTCCCTCTGTCCTTTCCTAGGCATTCCTGCCCCCTAAGCTATCTCCCTGTGCAAATACTGCCCTTCCGTTCTCCTGTGATTGATAAGGAGTGTATCTGCCTGGTGTAATTGTTCACCCCATATGCCTGTCTCTTGTTTGGCTGGAAGCCACGGGAGTGAGTTCAATTCCAAACCTGAAGGGTGACTAGGGGCCGTAGTCTCGGGGGTCTTACCAGATTCCATCAGAGCAGTAAACCTGGTCTTTTTATGATTTTGAGTTTTGTTCCACACTCTCTCCCTCTTTGCCTCCTCATTTCTGTGTTCGAGTTAAGGGGCTGGCAGCTGGAACAGACCCAACGTAACAAATGCTCATGCAATCCAGGATTTCCCACAGTCGCCTTCCCTGTGTGTCTGTGTTGCCCACGGTGGCTGTTGACCAGCCAGTGGGGAAGGAGTGGGGCAAAGGGGATGACCCAGACGGTGCAAGCCCTTCTCTCAGGCTGTCAGCGTTCAGAGTCCCCGAGAGCTGGACTCCTGAGTGACCCACTACAGCAACGGAGGGCTGTTAGGGTAGTTGAGGAAGGGCATTGTGAAGAGCCCGCCCCCTCCCTCGTGCCCCGCCCCTTCCTCCCTCTCCTCCTCACCTCTTCCTTGGCTCACCTGCTCACCAACCTCTCCCCTTTTGCTACTATCATCTCCTCGTCCTTCTCTACTTCTGTTTTCCTTTTGATTTTTTTTTTGCCTCCTCCTCTTCATCACCTCCATTTCTGCCTCTGCCCCTTCCCCCCCCACCCCACCCCTGCCCTTCTCCCGCTGTCCATCATCACCTCTCCCTCCTTGGCCATAGGGTCCTGGACATGCCCACCCAGGAGCTGGGTCTTCCTGCCTACCGGAAGTTCGACATTGAGGCCTGGATGCCAGGCCGTGGCCGCTTCGGAGAGGTGAGCCCCTGCCCCAGGGGCCACAGGGCCTGGAGAGAGGGTGGGGCCGCCTCACGCAACCTATGCTCTTGACCCTGCCCCTCAGGTCACCAGCGCATCCAACTGCACGGACTTCCAGAGCCGCCGCCTGCACATCATGTTCCAGCCAGAGGGGTCGGGGGAGCCACAGTTCGGCCACACGGTAAGGGCTTGCACCGCCCCTTCCCACCCTACCCCTCACCCCCTCCATGGGGCCAGAGCCTGCTCCTAAGCGTGCCACTCTCCCAGGTAAATGCCACGGCTTGTGCTGTTCCCCGTCTCCTCATCGCCCTCCTGGAAAGTTACCAGCAAAAGGTGAGGCTCCTGGAGGTGGGTGGGGTCCAGGCCAGGGGCAGTGATCTGAGGCCTGCTCTGCTCTGTCCTTAGGACGGCTCGGTCCTGGTGCCCCCCGCCCTCCAGCCCTACCTCGGCACAGATCGCATCACAGCCCCTGCCCATGTGCCCCTCCGGTACATCGGCCCCAACCAGCCCCGGACACCCAGCTCCCAGACCAGCCTGTCTTGAGCTGAGAAGCTGCTGTCCACACCCACCAGGGGGGCTGTCTGTGTCTCCTGGAGATCGAGGACCCTGGATGCCCAGGACCTGTTGTCCCGAGTCCATCCTGACGTCTGCATTCCTCATGTTGGTTCCACCCCCAGGGTCCTGGACTCCCAGGGTCCACCTCTCCTGACTCCCTACCCCCAGCCTCAGAGCCAGCAGTGACCCATGGTCCCTGGGCCCCGGCCTGCACTGGGGATGGTTGTCTGGGATTATTCTCCCTTCTTCCCCTCTCCCTCCTTCTTTCTTCCCTCCCTCTGGTTCCAGCAGTGCTGAGCATAAAGTCCTCAATAAATGGTCAGGACAAAGGGCTTTATGATCTGTGGGCAGTGGGGATGGGCCTGCCCAACCTCCCAGGAGGTGCTGGGCAATAGAGGTACTGAGTCATCAGAGGGCCGTGGCTGCAGGAACTGTGCCTGGAAGTGTCCGGCAATCCCCAGAGTTCACGGAGGGTGGCTCAGGGAACGCAGGGGCAACTGAGTGTGCTGAGCCCTCTCTCTTCCTTGGGGACAAGTCAAGGCAGTCACCCTCCAATGGCTCCTTTGCTCTGACCCTGCCTTCCACTCCCCGCTTCGCCCCCAGCCCCTCAGCCAGCTGTCCCTTCCCCAGCTCCAGGGAGGGGCCCAGGAGGCATCACAAGCCCAGTGAGGCCCAGAGAGAGCCTCTGACATTGTCACCAAGACTCACTCTTCTAGGTGTCTCCATCTGAAGCCACCGTCGCAGTGCCTCAGGCCACAGCCCCCCGAGTTACCCTCTTTTCTTCCCTCACACCCATATCCAGTCCATTGGCAAATCCTGGAAACTCCACCTTCAGAATACTTCCAGAATCTGCCCACTTCTCTCTTCCAAGTCCTCCGCCTGAGTCCTGTCCGACATTGTCTCCCATTTGGATCAGCAGCCCTTCACTGCCTCCCTGTTTGCACACACAGCTGGAGGGCGCTGTGGACACCTGAGTCCCATCATGGCCCTTCCCCACTCAGAGCCTTCCCATGGGTAAAGGGAAGAGGTATGGCTTGTGCCATGTGCCCCTTGCCTCCTCACCCCAGCTTGTCTCTCTTGCTCTGGCCAGCCCTGACCTGCTTTGCTGCTATAACACTCCATACTCCTTCCTGACTTGGATGGACCTCTGCACTTGCTAGTCCTCCTACCAAGGAGCTCTGGTGGGGCAGTGCCTAAGGCATTTGACTGCTAACCAGAAGGTTGGTGGTTCAAACCCACAGCTACAGTGCATAGGAAGATGGGGCGGTCTACTTCTGTAAAGATTCACCACCTTGGAAACCCAGTCAGGGTGACTATGAATTGGAATCAATTTGATGGCAGTGAGTTTGGTTTGGTTTGCTACTGGAACTGCTTTTCTCCAGATCTGGTGTGACTGGCTGCGTATTATCCATCAGGCCTCAGGCAAATGCCATCTCCTCAGAGAGAACTTCCCTGACCATCCTGGCCAAAGTAAAAAAGCTCAGTCACTCGGAACCCACATCCATACTCTTGTTTGATGTGCCACGGTCATTTCCTCATGTATATCTGAGGCTTGTCTGTCTTCCCTACTTAAGAGAGAAGAGATGTTTATCAGTTCATTCACTGTTGTAACCCCAGGGTCCAGGAGTGGGCCTGGCGTGTAGTAGGTGCTCAGTAAACATTGTTGGATGAATAAACGTGCCGGGAATGCTGCAGTTCCCAATGTCAGGCGCTGTCCTAAGCACGGCACACATTGATCCTCACCTTCCACTTGTAGAGGAGGTTGTCATCAGCCTTCTTACAAAGGAAACTGAGGTCTTAACGGTGAAGAGGCATTGGTAGTTGTCACTGAGCTGCTCATGAGAGACTTGAGGCATATATCACAACTTTAACAAGTACAGCATTGGTGGTTCGGTTGTAGAATTCTTACCATCCATGCTCGAGACCCGGCTGCATTCCCAGCTGGCACAGCTCGTGTGCAGGCACCACCTGTCCATCAGTGGAGGCCTGCATGTTGCTGGGATGCCGGAAAGGTGTCGGCAGAGCTCCCAGCCTGAGATGGACCAGGAAGAAAGGCCTGGCAGTCGCCTTCTGACAGTCGGCCAGCACAAACTACGGATCACAGCAGTGCAGCCCACTGGTCATGGGGTGGTGCGGGGCTGGGCAGTTTGCTCCATTGGGCCTGGGGTCATCATGGGTCAGGGACGACAACACCAGGGCTAATAAATGTTAAGCAGCTGGCCCAGGGTTGAACGGGGGAACTGGGAATAAGGCCAGAACTCAGCCTCTGAGGAAGAAGGTTTAGGAAGCCCACTTGTCAGATGAGAACACTGAGGCTCGGGAAGGGGAAGGAGTTACCTGAGGTCATCATGGAAGTGGCTGTGGCTAGGGTAGAACCCAGGTCAGCCTCCCAATGCAGCTGCTGAAGAAAGAAGACCGTGTTTCTCTGAGAAGCCCCCACCCTCCACGCTGGCGCTCAGGTGCCCGGAGCCTCGAGGGACAGCGGGTGCAGGGCGTGGACCTCCATGAATAATTGAGGGTCTCAAGCACTTAGTCGGCCGCCCCGCAGCTGTCGCCCCGCCGCGGGCGAGGAGGGGGCGGCATTGACGTCACTTCCGGCCCTGCGGGGGCCCGCAGGCGCGGGTTATAAGGCGCTGCCTTCCCGGGCCCGCACAGCGCCGAGGACCCCCAGGCCGGACGCCCACCATGAAGCGCCGCGGGTCCGCCTCCGTGCTACTGCTGCTGCCGCCGCTGCTGAAGCTGCTGGTAGGGACAGGTGAGCACTTAAACCGCGAGGGACCTCGGCGTGACTCGGGTGGTGGGGCGCGAGGACGACGCGCCAAGCGGGGGCTGAGCTCGAGGTGGGACGGTGCGCCTGGGGGTGGGCTGGGGAGGCGACTTGTGTGTCACTGAGAGGCCCACTGAGCTGCGATCAGCACCAGGGACAGCGCGTGGGGCGCCTGAGCTCGGCACCCATTTTCCTCTCCTTTCTCTGCAGCCACAGCGGCTCCGCTGACGCTCAGACCCTCCAGGGAGGAGGTGAGGACTGTGTGGACTCCAGTGCTCCGCCCTGCCCAGCCTCCTGCACGCCCTCATCTCCCACCTGACCTTCCCAGTACTCACTCCAGCCCCATCTCCCCTGCCCGCAACCTGCTCTCTGACCCTTGGCCTCTGCTCCCTAGCTGACCCGCTGTCTGGCAGAGGTGGTCACAGAGGTGCTGACACTGGGCCAGCCCCAGAGAGGACCCTGCATGGTTCTCCTCCACAAAGGTAAGGAGGCTTCAGATCCTCTCCAGAGCCCCCGCTCACCCAGGGTTCTGCCCACCTTCGCTTTGGTAGCCCTGTGCCCTGTGAGGGTTGCCTGGAGGAAGGGTGACCCTTTCTCATCCCCAGAGAGGTTCCGTATGGGCTAGCTGGCTGTGCCTGGCCTTCCCAGCCCCACCCTCGGGGCTCTCTGCAAAGGTACCTGGTGGGTCACAGAACGCCCTCCAGCCCCTGAACTGCTCTCCCAGTTCTGAGCAGTTCCCATGGAAACTCAGGCCTAAGTCCCAGAACAGTTCTAGGTCTGTTTCCCAATTTGATGCAGAGATCTCTCTCTCTTCCCACCAGAGATGTGCAAGACAGAGCCCTACGGCTGTGTGTCTGCTGAGGAGAAAGGTCTGCTGGGCAAGGATTTCAAGGAGGAGGAGGCTGGCAAGACAAGGTCCAGCCAGGAGGTGAGGGACAAGGAAGAGGAGGAAGAGGAGGCAGCAGCAGAGAGCACCCACAAGTCTGAGGTCCGGGAGCAGGCCATCCACGAGCAGCTCCACAGCCTGCTCCGCCAGGAAGACGAGGAGGAGGAAAAGAAGAGGAGGGGGCCCATGGAAGCCTTAGAGGACATGAGGAAGCAGCCGCGTGTAGAGAGCGGAGGGAACCCCCAGAAACGGGTGGCGGAGAAAGCTAGCGACAAGGAGACGGTCCAGTTTGAGGCAGAGGAGAAGGGGGTGCAGGTGCTGGGCAGGGGCCGCAGCCTGTGGCAGGGGGGGGCCGGCAGAGGTGAAGGAGAGAGGCACCAGGACTCGCTGTACCACCACCACCACCACCAACTCCAGCCGGAAGCTGAGCCCAAGGAGAAGGAAGAGGCTTCCGAGAGGGAGGTGAGCAGAGGACGGTAGGCAGCAACCAAACTGCCATCACACCAAGGCGATGGGGGAATGGGGTCGACTAGGTGGTCAGGGGGTTTACATCTAAGCAGTACCAGTGTTGGATTATTAACAGCAAGGTCCATCATGAATGGATCAGAGTAAACAAGACTGAGACCAGAGGTAGCAATGTCCATGTGAGGCCTCTCCTTAACCAAGATGGCCGTATTGAGATTTCAGTAATCAAGATGGCCCAGAAACATCCAAGTTAATGGCCACTGGTAGTCCATAATGTCCACAGACAATAGCCATGCCTGGTTCACTGGGTTAGATATGGGCACCATTTTCCTGGGTCATGGAAAGTTAAGATGTCACCATGATGGTGGCAGGAACCAGAATAGCCATGAAATCGCAAATGAGTCATGCAGGGCACTTTTGCTAATCCAGTATCCACTGCTGTTGGCTGTGGAAGTCTACGCAGACCTTGCTGCTGGGCCGTGCTGGACAACCTAACTCTTCCAGAGTCATGGCAACCAATATGGTCATCACTGCAGGTCCAGGATGACTAGAATGACCACTGCTGGCTGCCCTGTAAGAACACGGCCCACCCACATTCATGAGCAACCACTCAGGTGGCTTGCCTTTGAAGGTGGGTACCGAGCACTCCATTTTTTATCCTATCAGGAACATGACGTGGAGCGCCTGGAGCAGTTGAGAGATGAGCTGAAGAAGGCGACGGAGATGCTAGGGGAGGAACTCAGGAAGGAGGGCTGACTCCTCACCTCATGCCCTCCTTCTTCCCAACACACCCTTATGGCTTAGGACTGTTGACCCCTACACCCCCTCCTCACCTGGCACCCCACTCCACTCCCCAAGCTGGCAGGAGTGGGCATAAGGGTATACCTTGGAACCAGGCCTGAGGGAACAACTCTGAGCTGGGTAAGGGAGCTGGCTTAGACCTGACTCAGGAAAAGGGACCACCTACCCAACACCCATCTGATCTACTCCAACCCCTCTGAGTGAATAAAGCACAAAGAAAACCATCATGTCTTACTGTGTAGCACATGACCTTAGAGGGATGGGGACACAGGGATCTGGAGGACTGGGAAGAGACCCCTCTGGTGGTCAGACTGGGATTTTATTAAATTTGAAATTATATTAACAAACAAATTAGACAGGGTCATCAGGAAGAGGATTTGAGGCTGGGGTTAGAGGTAGCTGGTCTTGGCTCCGGCCACTGTGGACCACGATGTCGTCATATTCATCCTGGGGACAGAAAGCAGCCAGGCAGAGGGACTCAGGCACCTTGCCTGCTGCCCAAGTTCTTCCACGCCCACCCTGAGAACTTGATCTTTCCATGGAAGCCCAAGTCCCCCTGCTCCTAGTTCTCAAACCACTGTTTCAAGCTCATTTCTCTCCAAGCTTGAGTTCTCCCACCACTGCTACTTGAATTCTATTCCTGCAGATGCCCCTCTTCTTCAAATGTTCTGCCACCTGAGTTCTCTCCCCTCCACAGCTCAACATCTCCTCTTGCTCAAGGTCGTATCTCGGTTGCCTGGGTTCTCCAACTGAACCTCTCCGTTGCTAGCTAAGGTCCTTCCCCACCTCTGCCAGTTTTCAGGTGATTCCTGCTGACAGTCAGCTGCCACAGCCTCACATCTCCAACCGTTGCTCCCCGGAATCACTCCCCACGCTATCACCCACCACTGCCTATGTTCACCAGTATGACCAAGGTCTTGGCCATGGCCTTCATTTTCAATAACCACTGCCCATGTTCTCTCAACTGCTACCCAGCATCACTTGCACTGCTGCCTGGGTTCTACCATGGCAACCAAGGCTGGGCTCAACGCACTCTCTAATTTCTCTTTTCCTCCTTCCCACCTATCAGCTTATCCTGATGCCCCCCCCCCCAGCAGGGCCATTCAGTCCTTCCTCCTGACTCACGCCCTCATCTCCACTGTCACTGCTGCTGCTGCTACTGCTGCTGCTCCTGCAGGGGCCAGGCCTGTCATCCTCGTCCTCGGGCTCAGGGGCTCCGTGGGCACGGAGGAGGCGGGCGAGGATGGGGTTGGGCCGGAGTGTGGCGCTGCCCAGTGGAGTGCGGCCGCCATACATGCGGGCAGCAGGGTCTGCACCCCCTCTCAGGAGAAGCCCCAGAACATCAGCCGCTTGAGCCTCCACGGCCAAGTGCAAGGGGCTCCGGCCACACGTGGGCTCCTGGCAGGGGCAGAGGGCAAAAGAGGGGTCAGGGGGCCGAGGAGAGGGATGGAGCACGGAGGCCCTGGCCCACTCCGGAGCAAGCCCCTCTCCCTCACAGCCTTCCCTAGGGCGGCTCACCGGCTTGTTGAGGTCAGCTCCAGCCTCCCAGAGCAGCTGCACCATCGCAGCATCTTTGTGGATGACAGCCACGTGTAGTGGGGTGTGGCCTGGGGACAGAGTGATGAGAATGAGGAGCCTAGAATAGGGTTTTGTGCCTGGGGGTGAGCAGGCGTGGGGTCTGGCACTAGAATTCCTGGGTACACCAAAGAGGCACACGGGTCCCAGATGCTTATGTCTGATGGTCTGGGGCTTGAGGGTCTCGATGCCTGGGTTGTGGGATGTCTGGGGACTAGGGAGGGACTGGAGTCTTTGGATGGGAGGCCTGGTCTTACTTCACAAAGCACCTGGGGCCCAAATTCCTGGATCCTGAGTAGCTGAGGGGCCTGTGAGCTTGGGGAGTGGATGGGTCCAAACACTAGGTAGAGAGGTGTGGTCCCTGGTAGTTGGGAGTAGAGGTGGGGGACCTGAGACTCAAATGCCAGGGCCCAGGGTAGACAAGTCCTTTTTCCCCATGACACCTGGCCAAGGAGGGCTGTCCCTGATGCCTATCTCTGGGGACCTAGGATGCCAGAGTTTCATAGAAGCCTTGGGCTTTGAATTCCTCAGGCCTGGGTGGGCTAGGGCTTGCAGGTGGAGACAGGTGTCCTAGCTGGATTGTACCTTCCAGGTAGACCCTGGGTCCCTATAACTGGATTCTAGTAGCTCTGGGCCTGGGTGCCTACTTGTCTGGGGCCTCCAGAGTGTGGTCCTGGGTCCCACATGTCCAGTTCTCAGTGCTCTGGGACCCCTGAAGCCTAGGTTTTATTTGCCAACTGGCTGGGTCTTGAGTATGGAAAACTGAGACCAGAGCTGGGTGCTCTGGCCCAGAAGGGGGCCCGACGCCCTCCCAGTCACTGAGGACCTCACCCTCATAGTTTTCAGCTTCTAGCTGCAGCTTCCAGTTCTCCTCACTCTCCTCCTCTTCCTTCTCCAAGCTGGGATCAGGGTATAAGGCAACAGGGGCATGGTCGGTGTCAGGGGTGTGATCGGGGCCCTGGGTATGGTAGGTGTTGGGGGCTCCCCTGGGGCGCCGGGGACGAGGCTGTAACAGCACGTGTGCACAGGCGTGTGCCCCCATGCGGCAAGCCAGGTGCAGCGCTGTTTGGCCCCCACGCTCTGCCACGAGCAACCCAGCTCCCGCCGTGTACAACTTCTCCACCGTGGATGCCTCCCCCAGGATGGCTGCCAGGTGCAGGGCCGTCTGCAGGAACAGAGGGCAAGGTTTAGGGTCACACTGAGATCCTGGGCCCCTCAGCCTTATACTGGCCCCAGGTGGCTCACCTGGCCCAGGTCATTCTGTAGGTCTAGGTACTCAGTACCAGCTGCAAAGCTCAGGAGGAAATCCAGGAAGGGCTCATGCTGATGAATCACTGCCAAGTGCAATGCCCTGAGGACAAAGGCAGGGGTCAGAGGGCAGAGGTCAAGTACTCTTGCATTCCTTCACTCAACAAACCTGAAGCATCTACAAGGTGCTAAGCATTGTGACCAAAGTACTGGAACTAGCTGTTTGGTGTCTGGGAGGTCAGAGGCCAGAGTTAACTCAGTAATGTTTACTAAGCAGCCCTTCCACTTCCACCCAAGATTAACTGACATAGACCAGATTTCCCTCCCACTTGCAACAACCAAAAGAAATGAGACAAAACACAAGAAACAACAGTTCTGAAGACACTAGATATTACGCAACAAATGATTGTCACCCTGAGAATGGAAAACAAACAAGGTGAACCCTACAGTCGAATGGCACCACTTACTGTCCTGAGAGCTTCCAGGCCACAGGCAGAGCCCACCAGACTGTCTGAATTGAAGAGATGGAGCTGAACCCTTGCGGAGATGAAGGCAGCTGGGGTTCACAGGGCAGAGTACCCAAGAGGAGAGGGCACCCCAGAAAAAGAGAACCCTGGAAATCTGCAGAGGGTCCGCCAGCTACTGAGCAGAACACTGATCATATATGCGTGTAAGTGAGTGAGTAAAGAAAAATATCCCAAAGGCCTAAAGACCAGTGTCCTTGTCACTCACAGGGCCAGAAGAGTGCCTGTTCACACAGATCAGAAAAACTCATAATTCATAGGCATTTGAGTAGAGTATTGAAGAAGGGTTTGACTTGAAAATGGGACATAATTTTATCCCTATACTAAGCACTGCCCTAGACCCACTTCACAAATCATAAAAGAATAACCTAAGAAAGTCAAACTGCTCCCAGGTAACTTAATGGGATCCCAGGAAAAAAAAAACAAACTCAAGAATAAAGTATTTATAGGAATACAAAAATACCCAGCGCCTAACAAGGCAAAATTCACAATGTCTGGCATCTAATCAAAGATTACCAGGCATGCAAAGAAGCAGGAAAACACGACCCATAATAAAAATCATCAATCAATTGAGACTGGCCCAGAAATGACACAGATGTTAGAAGCAGCAAATAAAAACACCAAAAGTTATCATATCTGTATTCCATAGGTTCAAAAAGTTAAGCAGAGACATGGAAGATGGAATGCAAATCAACATGCTAGAGATGAAATCCACAGCATCTAAGCTGAAAAGTACACTGGGATTAAGAATAGATTAGACACTGGAGAAGAAAGATTGGTGAATTTGAAGACATAGCAATGGAAATTTTCCAGGAGAAAACAAAAAGTCAAAAAAAAAAAAAAGAAAAAGAAAAGTACACCAGTAAGCTGCAGGAAAATTTCAGGTGGCCTAATATACGTGTAACTGAAGTCCCTACAGAAGGGAGGGCAGAAAATATATTTGAATTTTTTTTTTCCAAATTTTATTAAAATGATACACCCGCAGATGCAAGAAGTTCAATGAACCCCAAGCACAAGAAATTTGAAGAAAACTACACCAACCAAGGTCCATCATGAACAAATTGCTCAAGACCAGTAATAAACATGAAATATTAAAAGCAGTCAGAAGGGAAGAAAAAAAAAGACACCTTAAATATAGTGGAAGAACAGAGTAGACAGCAGATTTCACGTAGGAAATAATGCAAGAGGAGATGGTAGAACAGGATATTTAAAGTACTGAAAGAAAAAGACTTTCAATCTAGAATTTTCCACCCAGGGAAAATATCTTTTAAAAAGTGAATGCAAAATAAAGATGTTTTCAGACATACAAGAGTTGAAAGAATTAATTTCCAGCAGATCCACACTATAAAAAATGTTAAGTCTTTCAAACAAAAGGAAAAATGTTATCAAATGGAAATAGAGATCTACACAAAGGAATGAGAGGCACCAAAAACAGTAACTATACATACGTAAGAAATTTTGTGGAGTTTATAACATATGTATAAGTAAAATGTCTAACAACAGCATACAGGCCAGGAGGGACAACGGAAATATGCCCACTCCTCATTATCAAGGTGGTTGGGTTCCAAAGACCTGGTCATTAGGCAAAAAGTTGTGTTATGTGAAATTGGAAGATGACCACATCAGATCACAAAATAGAGGATTACTATATATTATGACCTAACTGCCAAATGACATCATTATATAATTGCCAAACCACTGAGAATCATGGCCCCGCCAAGTTGACACAAACCCTTAACTGTCACAGACAGTGTTACTCTTGCCTCGTACCTCCACATTCGTTAATGCCAGACATATATCATTAATATGCAAGATAACAGGACAGCAGATCTTTTACTATTGTAGTAAATGCAGAATGTTGCGTAATGAGATAGTTGATAAGTGAGGAGTAGCAGACCATTGTATATTGCCTATGAAGTCCCTGGGTCCCTGAGTACAGACAGTGAAGCACTCGACTGCCAGCCCACATATTGGCAGTCTGAACCCACGCAGAGGCAGCTCGGGGACAAGCTTGGTGATCTGCCCCTGAAAGGTCACGCCTTGAAAACCCTATGGAGCAGGTCTACTGTGCACACTCGGGGTCACCATGGTGAGAACTGCCTGGCCAGCCGCTAACAACAATACCACATGAGGTCCTTGGAGGGCAAAGCAGCTTAGCTGCCAGCAGGAAGACTGGCGGCTTGGGCCCACCAGAAGCACCTCAGAAGAAAGGTCTGGTGATCTACTTCTAAAAATACCAGCCACCGACAATCATTTGGAGCACAGGTCTACTCTGACACACACAGGGTCGCGACGGGTCAGAATCGCCTCAACACAATTTGTATGTATTATAGAAATGGTTCTTTTACTACATGTAAAGTGGCATAGTATCACTTGAAGTAGACCACAATAACTCACAAGTTCTATTCTATAAACCCTGAAACAAGATTCAGCAAACTTTCTCTATAAATTAGGGCCAAGTGTTTTAGGCTTTTCAGGCCGTTGTGGTGCAAAAGCTGCCACAGATAATAGGTAAACAAACCAGGTTGGCCGTGTTCCAATAAAACTTTATTTATAGGCACTGAAACTTGAATGTCATTTAATTTTCACTTATCATGAAATATTATCATTCTTCATGTTTTTCTTTAACCATTTAAAAGTGTGAAAACCATACGCCACCAAAGCTCCCTCTTTATGTTATAGCCATAGAAAAACAGACAGCTGACCAGATTTTGCCTACAGGCCATAGTTTGACAACCCCTGCCTTAAATCAACCACTAAAGTAACAAAGGAGCTCTGGTAGCGTAGTGCCTAAGGCATCTGACTGCTAACCAGAAAGCTGGTGGTTCAAACCTACCAGCCACTCCTCAGAAGGAAGGTTGGGCAATCTACTTCTGTAAACCCAAGGAGGGGTCGCCATGAGTTGGGTCCAACTTGACAGCACATAACAACAATAACAACAACAAAGTAACAAAGAGTTACAGCTAATAAGCCAACAAAAGAAATAAAATGGAATTACACAAAATACTCAGTTATTCTAAAAGGAGGCAGAAAAAGAGGGAAAAAGAAACAAAGAACAGATGAGACAAGTAGAAAACTAATAGCAAAGTGATATATTTCAATAAAACCTTATTAATAATTACACTACATATAAATGATCTAAATACCCCCCATTAAAAGGCAGAGATTGTCAGGTTGAATAACAAAGCAAAAGCCAACTATAGGCTGTCTACAAGAAATGGTCTTTAAATACAAAGACACAGATAGGTAAAAAATAAAAGAATGGAAAAAGATAGATCATGCTAACATTAGTCACAAGAGAGCTGGAGCAAGTATTTTAATATTAGACTAGAACCCTAATATCAGAGCTTCAAAATATACAAAGCAAAACCTGATAGAATTATGAAGAAAACCAGACAAAACCACAATTATAGTTGGAGATTCCAGTACTCTCTGAATAATCGGTAGAAGAAGCAGGCAGAAAATTGGCAAAGAATTTCTAGACCACCACTATAACCCAACTGGACCCCACTAACCTTTAGAAAACGCTTCATCTGACAACAGCATATTGCACATTCTTCACCAGTGCACAACATTTACCAAGACATTTCACCTTCTGGGCCATAAAACGAGTGTCAAGAAATTTAAAAGGATTCAAATCATACAAAATATGTTTTCTGACCACACAAAATGAAACTAAAAGAATCAGTAACAGAAAGGTATCTGGAAAACCTTCTGAATATTTGGAAATAACATAGTTTAAAATAGCCCATGGGTTAAATAAATCAAAAGAAAAATTAGAAAGTACACGGAATGAAATGAAAATGAAAACATGACATAACTGAATTTGTGAACTATTGCTAGAGAGCTGTTCAGGGGGAAATTTGTAGAGATGTCCACCCGTATCAGAGAAAAAAGAAAAATCTCAAATTAATAACCTCAGCCCCTCCCTTAAGAAATTACAGAAAGAATAAAATAAATTCAAAGGAAGAAGAAAGAAAATAATAATGATCAGAATAGAAATCAATGAAATAGAAAGCAGAAAAACAGAGAAAATTAATGAAACCAAAACCTGGTTCTTTGAGGTCAATGCTCATCAAGGGCCTATGGGTCGAGGAAAAGACAGTCCTGGAGATCTCCTCCCAAAACACCAGCCACTGAAAACGCTACGAAACACAGTTCTACCCTGACACACATTAGGGCACCGCGAGCTGGAACTGACTTGAAGGCAACTAGTTGGTATGGGTCAAGGAGATGGTGAGTGGTGGAAATCGTCAATGTGCTTGGCTGCTAGCCAAAAACTTGGAGCTTCAGATTCAACTAGAAGCACCTAGGCAGAAAGGCCTGGAGACCTACTCCCGAAAAAATCAGCCACTGAAAACCCCATGGAATACAGTTTCCCTTTGATACATATGGTGTTGACATAACTCCACAGCACCTGGTTGGTTACCGTGGGTCAGGCACTGTTCAAGTCACAGCAATAAACAAAACAAAGACCGCAGCCTTTACAACTGCTGTTCCTTCTGCCTGGAATGCTCTTCTCCCTGGATAGCTACTTGTATCATTTTCCTGCCACTTCTCCATAACACTTGCTACCTTCTGATAATGTATTTATTTCCTCCTTTTCTGTCTTTCTAGCCACCCCCATCCCCACCAGAATGTATGCTCTGTAAGGACAGAAGTCTTTGTTTTCTTCATAGACCTATTGTTAGGTACCGTCAAGTTGGTTCTGACTCATAGTGACCCTATGCCCTGAACAAAGCATTGCCAGTTCTGCACCATCTTCACAATAGCCTTATTACCAGGGCCTGGCATATGGTGGGGTTCAATAAACATTTAATAAATGGATGAATCCCTACTCCGACGAACCTTACATTCTCTCTTTGAATGGAAGAATTGAAAATTCAGGATCAAAAGGCAGGACCTTAGAGTCAAGGGTCAAGCATAATTTCAGAAATCAAAGTTGAGGTTCATAAATCATGAATGAAGGATCATGTTTGATCCTTCATATTTGGATCATATTTGGATCATATTTGGAGGTTGGAGGTCAGGAGGACCTGAGACAGAGGTCCCAGGCCCAGATCAGGTCAAATCAGGTCTTGGGATCAGTGGGTTAGGGATATTCATATCCAGGACTGAGAATGAAGAGTTAAGAGAAGAGTCAGAAATGATTGAGTTTAAAAAAAATTTTATGAAATTACTGGACTAAGATCAAAGATGGATAGAAGGTTGATTGACAAAAGATTAGGATTTGTGGGTTAAAGGTCAGGAAGTCAAGGATCAGAGGTCAGATTTAGGGATAATGGTTAGGAAGCCGATCAGACCACTGGGGAAGCTGATCCTATCAGAGGTGGGATCCTTGGGGCCAGTCTGGGAATCTAAGGTTCACTCACGTGTCCCCATCTTCAGTGACGTATCCGAAGACGAGGGGCACCCACGACAGCCCCGGACCCAGCTCTGAGCCCAGCCCTGGTCCTGCCGGGGCCGCTGCGTCCGGACCCAACGAACCCAGGCCGCTGTCGCACCACTCGTCCGCATCTGAAGCCTTCCCCAAGCAAGCGACCCCAGCCATGGTCCCCTCTGCCACCGGGGCCCTCAGAGGCCGCCCGCCGCCAGCCTGTCGCTGGGCTCTGCCGAGAGCTCTGGAGCTTCCGCCCTGCGGGGAATTCCCAAACACGCCCCCTAGAATGTCCAATGAGAGTGCGCTAAATCTGCCGCGTCCCGCCCCATCTTAAACCCCGACCAATCACAGTGTTCAAGTGGACTACAGCTCTCGATCCGTCTCCACATTTTCCGGGAACCCTTTACCAATATGGCTGCCAGCGCGCGTCCCTGTGGAACTCGTAGTCCAGCCCTTGGGTCCTCATCCGGAGAGACGCGCTCGGGTCACTGATCTCGCTTGTCTGTGGGCTGCTGTGCCTTCTGGGAGTTGTAGTTCTCTGTCCTTTCCCTGTCCCTCCTCTTCCAGTGCCGTCACGGGACAGAGCAGTCGGTGACAGCCCCGAGGGCCCCGGCCCCGCACCCATGGCCGAGCCGGACCGTGAGTCGGGGCCCCGGTGGGAGGGCCGGGCCGCGTCGGGGCCTGGTTGCGTGATACAGGCACCGGGGCCCGAGAGAGGGCCTGGTGGGGCGGGAGGTAGGGTCTGCATGGGGCCGTGGCATTTGAAGGGCCATTGCCAAATGATCCATTTTGCTAGATGGGTGCGTTTCTGGGTCACGGGGTCTTAAGGGCCACTTTACTACGTTATTGACGATCGCATGTTTTTTGACCCTCGTTGCTAAGGACCCTCATTGCTGCGATCCCGGTTGCTAAGTGTACCTGGTTGTTAGGAGCAACTGTAGGATGCTAAGGGACCCCTGGTGTTCCCTTTTAACTCTTCCCTCTAGTTCCTGTGCCTCTCCTAAACCTACCACCCTCACTGCACCTCCTCTCCCAAACCCGGCCCCCGGCCATGGTGTCCCTTCCCTTCCCATCTCCTTTCTTCCTAAATTTCCCTCCACTCTAAAGCTAACACCACACACACACACACCTTTTTAACTCCTGCTGACTCTTCCTCCATACCCTGTATCCCTTACTTTCTCCTCTTTCTTCCTAAACCTTCCGCTCCCTTGCCTCTCTGTCCCTCACTAGCCACCTCCCCTCCCAATAATCCCCACTCTGATAACATCTGCTTTTCCTCCTTTCTACTCTTCACCCCAGTGTAGCTAGGTTGGTGGGTCTTCTTGGTCCCTTCACTCCCGCTTTGAACCCCTTCATTCCCCTTTAACCGTCCCCCCCACTGTAACCATGTCTGCTCCCCCTCCTCCCCCAGCCTCTGACCCACTGGAGACCCAGGCAGGGAAGGTGCAGGAGGCTCAGGTGAGATGCCGGAAACGGGTGGACTGGAGGGAAGGAGAGAGATGGACCTGTTCCCACATCCTGCACTGGGGGAGGCGGAAGAGGGGAGGCAGTTCCCCCGGGGCCCCTCCCTAGCTTACTGCCCCGATCCCTCTCCCTGGCCCAGGGTGCAGCCTCCTGGGGACTATCAGAGAAGGCTGTGTTGCCTCAATCCCAGGCCTGCCCTTCAAGGTCCCCTGCATCCTTGTCCCCCACTGCCCTCATCCCTCTGAACCTCATTTTGCTGGGCCTGGGAAAGATAGACATCAGATTTGGCCCCTGAACTCATGGCTCTCACAGAGATGTCACTGGAAAATAACTCTACAAGGAAATGGGGGAGGTACCTTTGGGCCCTGTGGGAGCCCAGCCTGAGCTTTATGGGGTCACAGATTCCACATAGCCCCTTCCTTGGAGGAATCCACAGGCTGGGCTAGGAATCAGATTGAGATACAGACAGAGTGTAGTCAGTGAAGAGTGACTTAGAATGTCCCCACACGAGATGATGAATGGTGTCCCAAGCAGAGAACACAGTTGTCTTGAAAGTCTGTGATGTGTTCAGTAGTTTGGTGGCTGGGGATTGTTCTTGTTGTTAGGTGCCATGAGGTTGACGCCACCTCATGGTGACCCCCTGTAACAGTAGAACTGCCTCAGAGGGTTGTTTGGGCTGTAATCTTTGCAGGAGCAGGTTGCCCGTTTTTTCTCCTAGGGAGCCGCTTGGTGGGTTCCAATTCCCAACCTTTCAGTTAGCAGCCTAGTGTTTCCAGGTGCGCCACTAGGGCTCCTTCGGCTGGGAATGGAAGGATAGTTATATTCATACCAAAGCCACACTTGTTGCTGTCAAGTTGATTTTGACTCACAGTGACCCTATAGGACAAGGTAGAGCTGCCCCATGGGATCTCCAAGACTGTAATCTTTATGGGAGCAGACTGCCTCAGCTTTCTCCCATGGAGCACCTGGTGGGTTTGAACCAGTGACCTTTTTGGTTAGCAGCCCAACAGCTAGCATTTATTGAATTCTTACTCGGTGCCAGGCCCTCTGCTTAGTGCTTTATCTGATTTCACCTTCCTAGTGTCCCTGACAGTTCCCCTGACAGAGGAATTTGAGGCAAAGGCAATAAGCCCTTGTCTTCTGTCTCTTGGCCAGAAGAGCAGGGAAGGGTTTGAAACTCAAGGCTTCAGCATACGGCCTTCAAGACACTGAGGGGGGATGGGAAGCTAGGAGGCATCGCCAGCACCTCCGCCACCCCTGTAGGCAGAGCTGCCCCATGGGCTGGGCAGGGCCCTGGAGTCTTTCCACAGAGCCTCTTTGTGTCCAGCCCACCCACAGTCGCGAGATCATCGCCTTGCAGATGTAGGTCAGTATAGTTGCTGTGACTAAAGTACCTCACAGAGGCATGGCAGAGTGACAGTGAGGGTATAAGGAGGTCCTCTCAGGCCAGCCTTTCACGCTCCCCTGGCTCCCAGAGCACCACGGCTGTCATGCGGGGTCCAGAGAGAAAGGTTTAATGTTAAGAAGGGACCCTCCGTTCCAGAGAGTGAGATCTCAGATGTAAATCATAGCATTGTCTACAATGGGGCAAAACTGGAAACAGCCCAAGTGGCTGTCAGTAGATGGATTCAATGAACTGTGGTTTGTCAGCAATGGAATACTAGGCAGTTGCTTAAAAGAAGGAGGCGGGTCTGTGGTATACTGTTCTCTGAAAAACACAAGGTGCAACCTCAGGCTGTGGTATGACCCACTTCTATAAACATGATGAATGTCTGCAAGTAGAGGAAAAGGCTGGCGCAATTAATCTCCAACATCAAGTAGTTATGTCGGTGGGCATGGGCGAGGCAGCTATGAGGCAATGCCCCAAGTCAGATGTTCTCTAGCATTCGAAGTGTCTGCAAAGCTAGTGTTATCTTAAAAAGTGTCAAAGAAAAAATGGCGCCGGACAATGTTAAAACACGGCAAGGATGACTTTGATTCAAAAGGAAGTTGCGAAGGAGGGGAGAGGAATAAGAGGAGGGAAGCAGGGAGCGCTGTCATGGGAAGAGGCGGACCACTGAGTGGGGAGAGGCCCCAGGACTGTGTCTGAGGTGCCAAACTGTGAGTTTTTTAAAATAAAATTTTAAAAAAAACAACCCTCAAGCCTACTGCCATCGAGTCAATTCCAACTCATAGCAACCCTATGGGACAGAGTAGAACTGCCCCATAGGGTTTCTAAAACTGTACATTTTTACGGAAGCAGGCCACCTCACCCTTCTCCCACAGAGTGGCTGGTGGGTCTGAACTGCCAACCTTTTGGTTAGCAACCAAATGCTTTAACCAGTACGTGAAGAAAGTTCAGGAGGGTATAAAAATGACCAGTCTTATTGGACCGATTGAGACTGGAGAAACCCCTGAGACCAAGGGCAGGTTGCCCAGCAGACAAGGTAATCACAAGCTTACTTGTGCTTACTTACTTACCTTTCATGAATGGTTTCACATTTTTTTCACCACATTAAAGATGTTTGCTTCTAGGTATGGCTGGCATCTGTCTTCCAACCCCACAGCACTTTTCTACAGAATCAAAGCCTCTTTTCAAATGTACAGTCCCTGAGAGGGACAGATTACCCAATAAGCAAGGTACACACAGGCTTACTTGTGCTTATTTACTAATCAATCTGTTTATTGGGTAATCTGCCCCTGTTGGAAGCTATAGCCCTAAAACATCCATTTAACCTGGAACTGAAGCTACTCCTGGAGGCCACCTTGTAGCCAGGTTATCGATTGGCCTGTAAATAAACAGTACCACCTGTGAGGAAAGTGCATAAAACAACTCACTGAGACCAAATGGGCAACATTTGCCCAAAAGCAAGTGAGATGGCAAGCAGAGCAGGGAAGGTGGAACGGGGAAGGCTGGGTGGAGACGGGCAGGGGGCTGACACATTGTGGGGGGACGGCAACCAGTGTCAAGGAACAGTTTATATATAAATTTGTCAAATGAGAAAGTAATTGACTGTGTAATCTTTTACCTGAAACACAAGAAAATGTTCACAAAAAGGAAAAGAAAGTTAAGGGGCATGTTGGGGACTCCTTGGGCGGTATAGATGATTAATACACCTGGCTGCTGACTGAAGGTTGGCAGTTCGAGTCCATGCAGAGGTCCCTTGGAAGACAGTCCTGGCAACCAGGACTGAAAAATCAGCCATCTAAGACCCTGTGGCAAGAGGTGTCCTCTAACGCACACGGGGTCACCACGAGTTGGAATCAGCTCAACAGCAACTGGTTTGGGGTGAATGGTGAATGGTGTACTCTGGCCTGGTGTTGGGGTGAATGGTGTCCTCTGGCCTGGTTTGGGGTGAATGGTGTACTCTGGCCTGGTGTTGGGGTGAA